CAGGGCCGGGGGCAGGAGGACGAGGAGGGGCCCAGGCGGGAGCCACTGGGATGAGGGCATAGGGACTGGGTCCCAGGCCCTCTCTCTGGGCCCACTCCCAGCCACCTGAGGGGACTGGACATGGGAAGGCGAGGGGCCCTGAGTTGGTTACCTGCGGAGGGGAGAGCACCGAGCTGCACGACTGTCTCCCAGGCTGACCCAGCTCACAGAACACACACCTCAGCCAACAAGGGGCTGCAGACAGACAGGCCTGCTGCTTTGGGGGAGGGACTTTCTCATCAAAACTCCTTGCAGGGACTCACCACGTGCATCAGCACTACCCCTTTCAAAACACTACTCAGTCCCTGACTGGTGCGGCTCAGTGGGTCGGACATCGTCCCACAGGGCCACCTGCTCGAATCGATGTGTGTCTCTCTCTCTTTCTCCCTCCCTTACCCTCTCGCAAAAAATAAATAAAATCTTTACAAAAACAAAACAAAATAACACAACTCAAGGTTGGAGAGGAAGCAGATGCAGATGCATGCAGGAACTACTGCATTTGTAAAACCTTCCACCGAGAGAGGACGTCGTCTCTGAGCCCCCTGCCCTCCCCACACAGCGGGCATCGCCCACCTCCCTGGCGGGGACCCTCCCGAGAAGTGAGACGGCTCCACTGAACAGCCCGGGCGAAGTGCAAACTGCGGCCCGGCCCTTGGAGGGGGTCTCCGACGTTGGCTGCTGCTAATTTGTTGCTTTTTTTTCAGTGAAGGTACCGAAAAGGACCAAAAATGGACAGATCAAAGCTTGACCTGACCAAGGTATTTCATTGTGTGTATTACTAAAATAACCTGCAATTACATTCAAAGCCTAAATAACTGGTTGGCCTGGGAGAGTGTGAAGATGTGTGAAGCTCTCACGCTGCCTGTCACAGACTGCTGGACAGGACCTGTCACCCCGCCTGTTCCCGTCCAAAGGCCCACAGCAGCCCCAGACAGGGCATCCTGATGTCCCGGCAGATAAGCAAGGACAAGCCTATTTGCTTTCAAGAAGAAAACAGCATCACTCAAAACTGTTTTCCATTCTTCCCAGTTTAAACAAGTTTACATGTACGTTCGAGATGTGCGGCGGACCACTCAAGGTGCGGCCTTGCCACACAGACATAAGTTGCTGTGATTAGAACATACGCAGAGTGTCTGGGCAAACAGCCCACCGTGCAGATCAGCACGCGAAGGGGGCAATGCCTCTGCCTCGACCCTTCCTTTCTCGGAATTCATCCTAAGAGGGGGCGGGGATAAAATGCAAGCAGCATGAAGGAAAGTATAAGGACAGCCATTAACATGTCATAGTGAGAAACTGAAAAAACTAAATGACCATCAAGTACACCAATCATACATAATCCTACATCATGCAGCCTTTAAAATGATACTGATTAGCCCTGGCTGGTGTGGCTCAGTGGACTGAGTGCCGGCCTGTGAACTGAAGGATCGCTGGTTCGATTCCAGTCGGGGCACATGCCTGGGTTGTGAGCCAGGTCCCTAGTAGGGGATATGTGAGAGGCAACCACACATTGATGTTTAAAAAAAGAAAAAAAGAGAGAGGGGGGAAAAATGATACTAATTATCTATGCTGACATAGAACATGCACATAGTAAGTAGAAAAGCAAGTTATAAAACAGTATCCAGAAGACGAGATTTTTTTAAAAAGTGTCTCTGCCTAGAAACAGTCTTGGGAGCACACATTATAATGTGGGTTTGTGTGGGACTCTGGGTGAGGTCTGTCTTCTTCACATTATTCTGAATGTTTCCCAAAGAGAATTTTCTGATTCTATTATTAATACACACAAGTTTCAAACTGACGTGAAATCAGGTTTTGAGAGACTGTCTCTCCTGTCTGAACAATGAAGCTTCAACTCCAAAGCAGAAACAGGACACGCTGTCCTAGGCAGTCTTGCCAGCAATACAAGAAGAACACGACTTCTAAGACACTCAAACAGCACTTCCCTGTCAGCCGGGCAGGTTAGAACACAAGGAGCATTGTGGGACTTGAGAAGGATGAAATCAGCGCGCAGAGGCATCCCAAATACAAGGCTGCCAATAATCAGGGCTTCAAAGTGCACCCGCGTGGCTGCAGCAGGCGGACAGGGGTTGGGGGTGCAGGGTGCCGGCCAGGAGGCCTCGTCACCAAGCTGTTGGCTTCTCCAGACCTGCGGGTAGACAATCCCAGCCCAGGACCCTGCTCCCCCAGGGGACGTCCCCGCCACCGCCACCGGTCCTGGCACCCTTCTGCGGCGCTTCTCCCGGCCGCGGCAACAGGAGCCCCCTACCTCCTGAGAGACTGGTCCCACCACTGAGCGAAAACGGCTGGGAATTCTGCTTCGTGATATGCAGCGATGACTGTTGTCTTTGGACTCAGAAACGTGTGAGTTCTTACTAAATGTGGAAATAAGTACCCAAAGAGATACATAAACCATATACTGTTTTACCTAAATGCTAAGAGATGCTATGACCTTTTCCTTTTTAGAAATCGTTAGAAACTCTGACATTCAAATGATTTGCTGGGCAAAGGCTAATTTGAGCCTTGCCTGTTTTCAGGTGATGGCACTTTGTATCTGAAAGGACGTCAGTGACGGCGGCCAACTGGCTCCCACAGCCAGTGTCTGTGCAGAAGCACTGGCTGAGCCTTTTAACGTGATTAGGATCACTGACCTTCAAGACAGTCCCCCTCGGCAGGGAAGGTGCCATTCTCGGTGGCTTTGTGCCCAAGCAAAAATCAGAATTTGAAGGGGGAGAGAATGAATATTGAGAAAGACGAGTAACAGCCTTTGCCGCACATGCTGACAGAATACGCCAAGTAGAAAATGTAGGACTTCAACCCTTTTATCTCCCCTTTCGTGCAAGAAGCGGGACATTAATTTATACTTTTCTGTATGTTTAAAGTACTTCATGAAAACTGCAGTGGTAAACCCTCATTACCCATTATCTAGAATTAGCAAACGCTAAAATCTCCCTTCAGATCTTTAAAAAAAATTGCCTCCGATGAGGTTCCTTATGCTGCCGCCCACTGCATTCCTCCCTTCCTTTCCAGACTTTTCTGAATGACGTTTCCCATTAATGTTTCTGTATTTTCTCTTTATAAATAGTGTTTCCTAAAACTGCATAAATGGCACACATTTCATCTTCTGACAGCTCACTTACTACTTTTCCAAGGGCTGGCCACTGATACTACAGATCCAGTTCACTAATTTAACTGCTTGGCTATTTGCCATTTTAGAAATAGGCCACAATTTATCCATTTTCTTCTTCATAGACAGGTAGGGTGTTTCCAGCCTTTCCTAGATACAAACAATTCGGCTGTGGACACCCCTGTAAGTCCCCTCGTACACACGTGCAGGGGTCCCGACAGCGTGGCCTCTCAAGCTTGAAGGAGCACGCGAAGCTCCTGCGAAGTCTTGTGACCACCCACGGGCTCTCACGCGGCAGCGGGACCCCGGGGCTGCGTGCCTCGCCGAGCTCCCCGGGGAAGCCCTCACTGCCGCCATGTGCGCACTCGAGGGCTCCGCCTGCAGGGACATGCCTAGCGCTGCGGGGTCCGTGTGCCCGTATCTCCAGCTCCGGTAACTCATCAGAGCGAATCGGTTGTGCGCCCACTCAGTGTGCTCTCTTCTCTCCATCCTCACCAGCACTCGATCTTACGAGACTTTCTGTTTTTTGCCTATCTGAAAGCATGAGACGATGATAAAATCATATGTCCCTGATTATCAGCGACAATGACCACCTTTTTATATCATTTGACCATTTAAGCTTCTTCCGTTCATGTTATTTTACCCGTTTTTCAGATGCAGTAGTTGTAAGTGCGGTCTGAGGACCCTGGGGGACCTGGTGGGGGCAGAGAGGAGGGAACGTCCTTCCTTTTCCAATTTCCTATGTAAACTTTGATTTCCTTCATATACTTTAACCAAAACACAGAGCGACAGACTGCGTACAGAAGTAAGTATAAGAATCCAGCTGTCTCCTATTAAGCTAGGCATTAAAAAGATTTTCAAATATGTAAAATAAAGCCTTATTAAAACTGTTTTGAAAGAGTTGTTTTCCATCATTATTTAACATGTATTATTTTTAAAAATAAATTCCTTAAATTTAGTATTTTAATTTCTGAGTAAATACCAATAGACATAACCTACCACGTCAAAACTCTCTGGGGTTCTCAATTCTTACGAGTGTAAAGGGTCTTGATACCACGAAGCTCGTGAACTGCTGCATTCATGCATGGCTGTCATTCGGCCATTGATTCGTAGGCGGTTCTTTAAAAGTATTCCGGGTCCTCATCCTTTAGCAGTTATATGTTCTGCAAACGTTTCTCCCAGTCTGGGGCTTGTTTTCTATGTATGATGGCTATCGTTCTACATAAGTTTTCACTTTGATTGTGTCCTGTTTTCCTGTAGGTTGTACTTTTACTAAGGATACTGCTCCTACTTGGAAGTAGGGAAAGTCTCGCTGGGCTTTATAGAGAACCCTGCTGTGGCGGCACTGAGTGAATTATGATAAGGAAACAGGGCTGCCCCTTTAATGAGATCTATGTAAAATATGTGCTGAGGTATTTTAGAATATTCTGTTTTCCCCAGACAAAGGAAATCAAATGTCTGTGATTCACCAAAAATAATATGTTTACCTTTGATGTAATATATGCTTGTTTTCCTTTTCAGAAATAGATTAGGAAATAGACACATCTTGTTGACAAGTACCAGTAAAATTTCAGATTAAATCAACATAATTATATCTTGCAGAGACATTAATCTGGAAACACAACCATGTATGTTCAATTAGTTTCTACCTTTCATTGTCCTGGAGGGAAAAAATACAGTAATTGACTGTAGGTTACATAGAACTGGGGTCATGGTATCAGGTGGGAAAAAAATCTATGAAGATTTTAAAATGATCCAGAGACACTGACAAAAACACTGAATCACATAAAAATACGTACTGGGAAATCCACAAACTAAAAAATAAAGGGGCATTCATATGTTCAAAATAATTTAATTCTCCCTGTACATTTCTCTCCACATGAGACAACAGAAATCAAGAATGCACACTTTACAATATGTATCTGTTTTGAGATATTCAAGTCAGTTCAGATGGCAAAAGTAGAATTCAATCACTAATGAAATGTTTAAAAATATATATATTAAACAGAAAAATGTTTTTACAAGATAAAAATAATCTACAATGCAATAAATTGCAGATCAGTGAAATTTTAACTCTTTAGATGATTTCAGTTCAGTTTTTGGTTTCAAAATCTAGAGACAAATGAAAAGAAAAAGGGTTGGTGGAATGTCTATCTGTTTTTACGTTTCTCTTTCTTGCTTCGACTACTTGTGACACCATTTAAAGATGACGATGAAGGTGCTCTTGCATGACCTGTGGCCTTTAGATGCTCAAAAAGTTTATTCCGGGAAGGAAATTCACTATGGCAGGTTGTACAGCACATAAGAACATCACTCTGAGAAAAGAAAAAAATAATAAATAAAACCAACTATTACCAAAGAGCAGCATTGTACGTTTTCGTGTTGAGATTAAATATCAATTGTAAAATAAAGATCCTTTAACAAAATGAACAGCTACCAGAAAGGCTCAACAGAGGTGGCCACTCTTGGAAGTTAAGTCCCATCCATCAATACCATCGACCTGAAGCGTTCTGAGACATTCAGTAGCGTGCCCAACATGGCCTAGACCACAGCTTTAGAGTCAAAGTAACGGAAAACAGAATAGTAACTGTTCATACAAACTGGTATTTCCAATGTGCTCCTTTTTACTTTAAAGGAAAAATATGACAGTAGCACCTGTATAAACTCTACATTTGTCAAGGAGAAGTGCTGATAGATCCAGCTCTATGCAGCAGGTGCAGAAGGGCTCACCAAATACGCTTACATCTTTAGGAGCGGAATGAAAAATTTAGCTTCCATGGTTTAGGCAACAGGGCCCACTGAAGAGATGTCAACATGACTCTGACCTACCGTTGTCTGTGGTTCAGCAGGCACTCTGACAGATTTTTTCGTATCTTTGGCTTTCTTTCCTCTGGCTTTAGGAGCGCTAGAAAACAAATGAAAGAATTCAGCATAATCCAATAATAACCACCCCTTCTAACTGTCATTTTGCTTCTAAGGAGATTCAAAAGGATGACATGGACTTTAAAAGCTAATTCATTCATTTTCATGGCCATGTTAATTTTCACATCTCAAATAGCTTTAGAGAGCAGCTTCAGAGATCACATGGTCTAGATACATGCATAAGTGACGATACATCTAATTTACCCCACACATCATGGGAAAGATTCTATTTGAGAAAAGATGTTCTTCCTACAACGTTTAGTAAGCAGAAAATCACGTGCCCCTTTGACCCACCTTTTTGCCTCACTTTTCGGGTCGTCACACAGTTCAACAGCCTCAGTGACACTGACATTTTCTACCGGACGATCTTCTAATTCTTTGGCACTTTCTTGATTTAAGTTGGTATCTTCTGGATCAATTTTTAGTCCTTCTCCAGTTCCATTTTCATTGAAATTATCATCATAATTCTAGGTAATAAACATGTGTGCATTAAAAAAATAAATACTACAATAATACCGACTTCTTGTGTTGTGTTGCCAAAGAGTTAATATCAGTGATAATGACAATGATCCCGCCCTGTGCTCTGTGAATGGAGTACATTTCCAGGTAATAAAAAGAAGCAGAGTTTTTTAAAACATGAATGCTCGTTACAGAAATACTAAGTTAGTGAAAAATTGGAAACAAACCAAATATTCAATATGTAAATGACTGAATATATGAAGGAAAAATATGAAGTTCTTAAAAATCATGTTTCCAAAGATACTGATTCAATTATATAGAAAATATAACACATTAGCAAAAATCAGAGAGAAGATTATACACAACATCTGACTATAATTTAGTTCAAAATTAAGTACTATCTAGGTGGAATTAGGGAGAATACTTCTACTTTTCTATATATTTTTTAAAAGATTTTATTTATTTATTTAGAAAGAGGGAAAGGGAGGGAGAAAGAGAGGGAAAGAAACATGACATGAGAGAGAGACATCAACTGGTTCGCTCTCGCATGCCCTCAACTGGGGACCTGGCCCACAACCCAGGCACGTGCCCTGACCTGGAATTGAACCCATGACCTTTTGGTATGCAGGCCGGCACTCAATCCACTGAGCCACACCAGCCAGGGCCTTTTCTATATTTTAAAAATAATCTGCAATGAACAACTATTATTTTATAGTCAGGGGAAAAAAGAAGAAACAACAACAAAAAATAACACATAAAAGATGCCTGGCAAACCTACCTTTACTAAGTACAACTGTTTTGTTTGTTTGGGGTAACATTTTATCACATATGCTTTCTCCCTTTCTTCCCACCTCACTCTTTCTCTCTGTGCACACACTCTTCCTCCTGAACTATGAAAGGATGCTGCAGGTGGAAATCAAGACACTTCACCATGTATCTCCTAAGAACGAAAACTCAAGAATTTAACACTGACATCATCTGCTACACATTCATATTTGTATTCTAATAATGTCCTTTTTTTTGGTAACAGTAGATATAATCAAGAAACACACGTGGTGATTAGCTGTCACATCTCTCAAATCTCCTTTATTCCAGCACAGTACCCCTGCATTTTTCTGTCTTTGACAATTATTCTGTAGACTATCCTGTAGTTTGGCCTTATCTGATTGTTTCCCAGTGATTAGACTCAGGTTCAACATCTCTAGCAAGCATGCTATAAAGGTAAGGCTGTGTCCTCCTCAGTATAGCACATCCGAAGGCAGACTGTCAGTGTGATGCGTCTTTCAGTGATTGAAGTCTGATCATGGGCCAGACATTTCTACCACAAAGTACCCATGCTCAAAAGTTCCCTGGATTGATTATCCTTTCCGTCAGCCAGGGTCATTTGTTTACATTCAATTTCAGTTTGGGGTTCTCTTTTGCAATCCTTGTGGGCTTACGCAATTTTTTTTTTTTTTTTACCATACAGAAAACTCTCCCAATCTGATGTTTCACAATTCTCAGTACTTTCTGCTTCCTGCTCTTGAATCTACCTGTACATGTCTCATGCTACATTGCCCTTCAAAAAGAACTTAGGAAATATTAGGAATAGTGCTACATACATGAAACTAGGTCACACGGGGTTTTCCCCCAATACAATGAGGAATCAATAAACAATAAGTATTATCAAGGAATAAAGTTTTAGAAGGAAAAAATGGCATGGTAAAGTGAAACATCTTCACTGGCAAGAATACAAACACATGTGTTCATTATCCAGTCTTTATTATTAGTCAGTGCTCCATGACTCGAGACGAAATGGGCTTGGTTAGGTATAAGTCCCTTCTTGTTGTTCTGTCTTTATTCTAGTGGTTCCAGCACACACAAGGGAGACAGAAAGGGTCCTAAACTAATGACTACAGGGTCTTTGCGGGGAAGGTGATAGGAGTCATTTTATAAAAGGAACATACAACTTGCTGTGCGGTTTTATAATTGAAGCAAAGAGTTCCAAGGCACCATTTTTACAGTGATTCACTTGAGTCATAAATCGTTTTTGGAATATGAAACAGATAAAAATTATCAAATATATTATAACCACTGGGATAAATAAACCAATTCTAAAGTTTTATGAAAAGATTATTAGTGTATCACCTAGGTTTTCCTAAAAACATTTTCAGTTATTAAAAAAGTATAACAGTTAATAATGTAAGCTAACATAATTAGATTATACAAAAATGGCACAGAAATCAGTTTCATTCTCTTTAGATCCACCAAATATCCTTAGTAAAACGGGCACATTCATTTTGTTTTTATAGGTTCAAAAACATCTCCAAGACTGTGTTATACACATATATCAACATAATACCTTTTTATTTAAAAATACAGCTGGCCCCCTTAGCCTGCAGGTTTTGCATCCGTGGACTCAACCAGCCGGAGGGGAGCGTGAAGACGAGAAGGGCAGACTGCGTGCTGCTCTCTGCCGGTCCGTTTAAGGGGCTCGAGCATCCGTGGATCTGCTACCTGCACGGGCCCTGGCACCAATCCCCCACAGATACTGAGGGTGGGCTCTAATTCCTGAATTTGGACCCCACATATGAAATATTTAAACTACTTAAATTTCTGAGTAATATCAACAAGTATTCTTTCAATAATCAGTCACTGCAAGTTTCTAGCCAACTGTTTCTTTTGTAAAATTTCAATGATGTTGTTGGAAGAACAAGCCTGATTATGCAATGATCAATCCAATGTCATATGTCCAAGTATTTACTGTGGTCACTCAGCTCATTTGTATTAGGGGAATTCCACATGCAAAAGTTTTAAACACACTGGCAACAGTAATTAAATAAATTAGCTACAGTCCTGACCAGTGTGACTCAGTAGATTGGATGTCATTCTGCAACCCGGAAGGTCTCTGGTTTGATTCCTGGTCAGAGCACACACCTGGGCTGAGGACCTGGGCCCGCTGCAGGCATGCGAGAGGCAACTGATCGATGTTTCTCTCCCTCTCCTTCTCCCTCCCTTCCCCTCTCTCCAAAAATAAACAAATACAACCTTTAAAAATTAAAAAAAAAAAATAAGTAAATAGCTACATATATATAAGGGGGGATTAAAAACAGAGTATTTTCAACTTCTTTTAGCTGTTCCACAATCATCATAAAATCATGGCAAAAGTCCCTCTCCTTAAGAGAGATTGTACTGGATAAACAAGAGCACCACGACTCTATACTTGAGATTTAATGTTAATAAAACTTTCTAACATACCTGTGCTGGTTTCTGTTTCTTTTTCTTCTGTTTTTTAGAAAGCCTAAGAACAAACATAAACCAAAGTCTCAAACACTTGACTCTGTGAAGACATATGAAGTAAAAAGAAAATACAAAAACACTAGTGATACAGAGAGAAGTAAAATATTAAAATTATGTAAATCACAAAGCATTAAAAAGAAAATGTTGATATTATCGCCCTATAAAATTATAAGTAGTTCCAATGACAGTAATTAGCATATCAATTACCTAGGTATAAAACTCTTTTTAAATATAGTCATAATATAGTCTATAAAAATCATATTTGACATCATGTCTTTACCCATTTCAATACTACAAAGTTCCCTTTAACTAGAAGAAATACAGAATATATTAGCATAATTTCTTTGAGATAAAATAGCATTTAAATACAATCTCTCAGTGTGGTAGTAAGTACAAGGGGGGACCCAAAAAACCTGGAATTATCTTCTGGAGGGCAGGCCCCTTGCTGAACAGGCTTCCCCTGCGGGGCGACTGTTCTAGGAACCCGTCTGTATCAGGGTACCACCTGGCACTGTTGTGAGAGGCTGCGTTCAGCTTCAGTGAAATTTTTTTGACGATGCTTTCAATGCATCTGCCCATTTCGTGATGGGTGATTTGCAAGTGCACCTACTCACACCGTGCTGAGTGTTCAGCAGTTTTTGACCAAAAAATGGCCTGACCCCTGTGCCCCACCTCCCTATTCACCCGATCTCACCCCAGCAACCTTTTTTTGTTTCCCTGGATGAAAAAAGTCCTCAAAGGGAACCATTTTGCTGATGTGGAAGAGGTGAAACAAAAAATGGCAGGAGCACTAAAAGGCATCAAAATCGACATGTTCAAAAACTGCTTCAAGCAATGGAAAAACCATCTCAATAGGTCTATTATATCAAACGGAGGGAACTTTGAAAGTGACTGAAGTTTAAACATGTAAGAATACACAATTTTTTATAAATAAATTCCAGGATTTCTGGGGTTCCCCAGTGTATGTCTGTGACATGTTTAGAAGTACTTTTGTTTTGGTGCATCCTCCATTTCTTCCTCAGAATTGGCATTCAGTAGATTTTCATCAGTCTGAGGTCCTGAAAAATTTTCTTCCTCCTTCTCCAACTGTTGTTTTAACAAGGCAACCATTTCCCGGTGCTTTTTGGATTTTTCGTGATTCCTCATGCTGAAAGAACAACCTGACATCAGTAACTGCAGCAGGACCATGTCCTGTGTGCCCAGAAGTGCTGCTGCACAAGTGCACCCAAGTTCAAGATACTCTCCTCTGTGAACTGGGCACCATGCTAGTGACGATATAGAGGGAAGCAGACTGTGTCAGGAGCCCTCCGGCCTCAGGGTCGCTGGAATCCCATGACTCCGTCCCGGTCCCGGAACTCCAGAGCTCTCCCCTCCTTCTGGCCTTTTGCCTGCATATGTCCTTCCTGCTTTTCTCCCCTCAAATTCTCAACTAATTTTATTTTCCAACTCTTAAAATTCAAGCCTTCTCCCCCGTTGTCTCTTAATCATGAATTATTTGCTAAGTGCTCAAGCATTCCAGGCCCTGCTAGGGGCCTTGCAGGACCCCTGGGAAACCACAGGACAGCCCCCTAACTTTGAAAGGAAGACACCCTGGGTCTGAGGGCAGTGGCGCGGAGCCCTTGTCCGTCAACTTTGTCCCATCTATTCAAAGTTTCGTTTTCTGGTGGTTTGGGCTGCTACTTCTGTTGCCACTCGTGTTCTCCTTCAGATCAAGGTTCCTCAGAGAAATCAGAACATCTTATGCCAAAAAGTAAGTGTTCAAAAATGTGACTGGGACATGTCAAAAGGCCATAGGAGCCAGGCTGAAGGAACTCTCACTAACCACTGCTGGAAAAATTTGAGCATAAAAAGGACAATAATGAATTATTAAAAAAATCATAAATTCAAACTGACAACAGACTGGTAAGTGGGGGAGACGGAGGGCGCCTGCTCACAGCAGGCGGCCAGGTGGCGGCTGACGACCACGCCGGGGCACCGGCCATCACAGCGCAGACGGCGCATGCCGGGGTCCTCAGCGGGGGCTCCATCTAGGGAGGCACTTCTGATGAGGGGTGGATACCCACATGGTTTTGCAGTGTCTCCCCACAGGTTAAAAACGCTATAGGAAAAAACTGGGGCAAGGAAAAAAATGCTCACTTGACAGGGGACAAAGTGGACAGCACCTAGACTGGGCAATCAAAGCGACCAGCACCGTGAGGGGCAGGCACACACACGTGCCTCCACATGTGAGACCTGGAGAGCAACACTCTCTGTGGCATCTCAGCTGGGCGTACGGTACTTGAACCTGATCGTGAGGAAACAACAAACCCACAATGAGAAAAACTCTACTAGAAAAATATTTTAAAGGGCCGGTATTCTGGAGCGTCAATGGCACAGAGAGGGAGCTGGTCCAGGTTCAATGAAGACAACAGCCCCCTAACTTTGAAAGGAAGACACCCTGGGTCTGAGGGCGGTGGCGCGAGGCCTTGGCGTGTTGTACAGGGGTAGTTTGCCTCTTTTTACTTCCTTCAACAGCTGTCTTCACCTTCTCCAGAAGGCTCTCCCTTCTCACTCCCACCATTCAAAGAGTGAGTTCAGACACATCCCTACCCCTGCAAAACTGTGCTCCACGGACCACTAAGTAACACTTCACAAAACAGAGTTGACTACACTTAAGATGCAAGCGTTAGATCAACTACACAGCCGGACATGATGCAGTACATGACCTGAGACTGGATCCTGTGTCAAAGTGAGAAAGATGCCACCCAGGACATTAATGAAGAATCACCTGACATAGGTGGAATATGGGCAGTAAATGAGGTAAGAGCACCATATCCATGTTATAAATTTCCCCAAGTTCGCAGCTGTACTCTGATTGTAAGGCAAGGTCCTGTTTCTTAAACAATGTAAGTTGAAGTGTTGTATTCAGAGGTAAAGGAGCATTACATACATCACTCCCATTTATTCAGGAAAACTGTGTGGTGAGAGAGAACAAGCACACGCAAATGGGGAAAGCGTGAACAGTGGGGGAATCGGGTACTCCTGCTCTAGTCTCACAGCTTGCCTGTATATTTGACGTTCTTTTCAAACAAACAATAATTTAAAACTCTCCCCTGCTGCCTTTGTTTCCTTGCTTGTTTCTAACATTTCCTGCTCTCCCTGCACTACGGCTTCTCAAGTGGGGCCACCCAGTAGGACCACTTCCAACCCCCACACCCTCGTTTTCTCCTTTGGCCTCCTTTTCTCTTTTACTGTTCATGTTTTACTCCTTTTTCCCTTGCTGATCCTACATTTTTTCCTCATATTCTTTACATTCTTTACATGGAAGTATCCATTCAATACTTCTCTTCGCCACTATCCCCATAATATACAGTGCCTTCACTTCAGCAAAGGTCCCTCGGGCAGGATACACGTGGAGTGCCTACACTGGCAGCGATGGCCTGCAGGGGAGTGTGTGGGGGGGAAGTGAGTCTGTCACCAGTGACAGAGACAGATCATGAGCTTTGGTCTGGCCTCCTTGCCTGTATGACTACACCTTCTTGCCAAAAAAATAAAAAAAAATTTAAAAAGCAACAATTCTTTCTGAAGGCCGCGTGCACGTCTACAAAGCAGCTATCCCATAGGAATACTGGCACGACTAAGAATCCGTTCAACAGGCTTAACTGCTGGTACAAACCACTCCTCTTCCCCTGCTGGACAGAAATCCCCCAAGTTTACAGGCGAGAGCTAGTGAACACCACCTAAAAGCATTTTCTTCTTAGGACTCTCAAAGCATTACCCTTCGCCTCAAAAGAAAAGGTGAGTTTGAAGGTATTGAACGTACGCCTTTTCTGTCTTGAAAGATTTATCACACGCTGGGCAGTACAGTTCTTCATAAAGCTCTGTGTCCTCCGCCTCATCGCTGTCTTTACCTACAAGAAGGAAGCGTCTAGTAAGAAGCCAGTTTAATTAGAGCGCAGCTCCAAAACATGGTAACAAACCACATCTGTTCAGTATGGAACTAAAGTTGCACACAAATTAGAAATAAAATGTTTACTTCCTTACCAAAAAACACACATCCACGTTATCAGGATTTGAGTTGACCCTTTAAAAGCAGCACTGAATTATAAGCCATAAATAAATCACTTTGCCTTTCAAGTTCTTTTCATAAGTCTACTTAGGAGACAATTCTCAAAACCCTGGGAGTGAGTTAAGTTCATAAAATCAAATGTCACTATTGTAATTCTACCACAAAGTAGTTTTCAACAAAGTTTTTTTTTAGTTTGCCTCTGGAGCAAGATTTGGTAAAAATAGATTTGTAACTGCAATCTACTCTTAAATGCTTAAACTTAGCTTATAACATTCGATTATTATTAGAAAGGTCATAAATAGCACATTACATGTAAAATTTAACATGGCCTTTACAAACCTTTTTTATAAGCTTGAAGATCTATTACAGTGGAATAATTACTATCAATATAGTCCAAAATTTTAAGCAACTAAAAAGTGCAATAAAGTCTTTGCATAATAGCATATCCTATCTTTATAAGAAGTAAAAAAGTAAGCTGAATGCCATTTGGGATTTATTATGGGATCAATAAAGATCTCAAGGCATCTCTTCTCTATCTACAGAATGGTTCTTTATGATTCTGAAGGTCATTCGCATTCAAATTATAAATGATCACAATACATCCAATGCTTAGTATGTGGCATTATTTTCCTATTATGTGTACGCTTTCAACATATCATATACATGAAATAAACTTTGATCAGTTAATAAAGAATGCTGTATTTGAAGGCAAAATCTGAATCTAAAAATGGTCATATACTCTCAGACATGACATAGCTTCTCATAGTCTTCGTTTCTTTATCAGGAAAATGCAGCTAATTCTATGAGCAAAATCTACACTTAAGGGCTATTATTGAAAGATCAAGAAAGATCTTGTATGTAAAAGCATTTTATAAATTGTAAAACTCCACATAAGTACACCACCTCACATTTAGACTGCTTTGTAATTTTCAAAACACTTCCACACATACTACTTCTTATTCATTAAATGAATATTCATTATTCGTTAAAAATTTTCATTTCCTAATCATTTTGAATAAATAAGTCTGTAATTTTATCATTTGGTCTATTAGTCTGAAAAGCACATTTATAAATACTTCAGCACACCAAGAGTCCTTCAAAGTCAGAAACGAGAGGAAGAGCATAAGCCACATAGGCTTATATACCACAAAGGCTCCTACACAACATCAGTTTTTATGGAAGGAGCTATAAAAACTTGACCTACTGCTTAACTGCACTTTTAAAAAATAACCTGTTGGTCACACCTGTCAATATGCCCACTTGTCAATAAATTTATAGAGCCAGCAGACAAACTGTTTAAAACATGGTCAGAAAAAAAGTTTTGTTAATCAAATTATCAGAATTAGACTATATCAATAAAGTACCTTTCCTTGGCCTCTACAGTATTGTTTTTCATTTTCATCATCTGCTAAATTTAAAAATTGGGCGATGTCATAAAAATCCAGATTTCCAGCCCTGGCTGGTATGGCTCAGTTGGTTAGAGCATCATCCTGTGGACCAAAAGGTCGTGGGTTTGATTCCCATCAGGGCACATTCCCAGGTTGCAAATTTGGTCCCCAGTCAGGGCGTGTATGAGAAGGCAACCCATCGATGTTTCTCTCTCACATAGAAGCTTCTCTTTGTCTCTCTCCCTACCTCTCTAAGAAGCAATGAAAAAATGTCCTCAGGTGAGGATTTAAAAAAAAACCAAAAACCCAGATTTCCAACTTCACTTAAAAAGCCACACAAGCATGACAACTCTGGCAACCCTGGTCCTGGCACCTGCCGGCTGGGCGGCGGGCGCTCTCTGCATTCCCCTCCGCCCTCCCGTGGCACCGCCCTGCCCCTTTACCAGCGCTGCAAGCATCTTCAGTGCACCCCGTGCACAAAAACACTGTCTCAAGCTTCTTAACGAACGGAAGAAGTTACCATCCTGTCCATCTCTGAGGTCACATTCCTCCGCCTCCTCCTCGTCCGAGCCGTCTCCAAACTCCTTCCCGTAGCGCGCCTCCATCTCCCGGAGCTCCTTCTCCAGGTCGGCCACCGTCATCCAGCTCTGCTCCTTGTACTGCTCCGCCAGTCTAGACACAGACAGCACCGTCTCCGCAGGGGCTCCCCTGGCCCTGGAGGCCGACCGCGCGTCCCCGGGGAGCGACGTCCCCGCAGGCTGTCAGAGCTCACAGGCTAAAACCCGAGCTCTGTGCAAACGGGCCGTCACTTCGCATCTGTTCGCTGTGCTGGTTGATGTTAATTGCTTGACTAGATAATAGGTCTTGAAATCTATAACTCTTAGCCACTAATTAAAAGTCTTCAAGTAATTTTACATCCTAAGTGTCAAGTAAAGGGCTAAAAGATATGGGGTAGGGCAGGTAGACTTTTTAAGAAGCAGTTTTTTTAAAGAATGCTATACCTAATGCTCTGAACACGATGCTGTAACAGTAACTCAAAAAAAACAACAACAAAACCCACAAACCTTTAAAGGCCTCAAAATGACCTAAAAGACTGAGAGTACATACTGACAAAGAGGCCGCACTGCGTGGTGGTTAAAAGCAAGGGCACTGGACTGACTTCCTGGGTCTAATCCCCGCCTCTGCGGTTTACTAGCCAGGTGATCTTAGGTCTACCTGCCTCGTTTCCTCAAAAGAACGAGGATAAAAACCAGAGCTGACTTCTAGAATTGTTGAGAGAAACATACTGAGTGCAGGCCCTGTAAGGAGTATGAACTCAGTCACCATTAGTTACTGGTACATTTTACAAGAGTCTGCAAAGGATCTCCAGTATAGAGGGCCTTAGGAAAAAAAACAATTCAAAAACAATTTCTTTCCAACAGAGGAAAAGCTGCTGTACAATGTCAGGACTTTTTTAAAAAGATTAAGTCAGAATGAGGATTTAACCGGGCACCAAAGCACCACGTCAGAGGGCCGCTGCCTTCTCCCCTGAGCCCACGCCCGGGGTAGGGAAGGGCCCAGCCCCGCGCCACGTACTTGGCCTGCTTCAGCTTCTGCTGCCGCCTCATCTCCTCAGCTTTCCTCGCCTTCTCCGCATTCTGCTCCTCCACCAGCTTCCGGTGAGCCTGCACTCTCTTATCTCTTTTACGGACGAAAGCGACCAGCTGTCGCACAAGCTCATTCTGCTCTTTCCTTGCTTTGTCTCGAGTCTTTTTGTTTTCTTTCTCCATGGCACGTTTCTCCCAGCGGTTGGAAGCTTGCCGGGTATCATATTCCTCTTTCCAAGCAAAGTTCTTCTGAGTGCAGAAACTCTGCCAGTACGCGTAGAAAGGGTGGACTACCTAGTGACAAAGAAAACAGGTAAAATGCTAGTTTTCTATGTAGGCGCCTTTTTTTTTTAATAAAGCAGCAAATATTCATGATGCAGAATATCTTTTGTCCTTTTATAATACATTACTATGAATCAAAGGAGAAGAAGACAGGCTTCAACAAAATAAGTCACTCTTCAGTATGGATTTAATGAGGCAATTAATGGATGGGACCGTGGTCAATAAGAAGGGAAAAGTGGGGAGGCTACCAGGAAGCAAGAGAGAGGAAGAAAGTCACAGGCTAGGGCTGAGAGCCCAAATCCATTTTTTTAAAATGAGAAAACGGGGAAAAGACACGCTGCTCAGCGCTAGGTGTGCACGGCCACGCGCTCTTCCCTCACCGTGTCGTAGTCACTCTGGGAGTCTCCGAAAGTGGGGAAGTCCTCGCCGTCCTCCTCCAGCACCGACTCCAGTTCTTCCTTCGCAATGGTTTCAAAAACATTACGATACACCGCATAAAAGCCCTAAAACACAGGTATTGGGATCACAGATTCTTAACACTTGACAGCCTAAGCTCAGAATCAGATCTGTACAACCTAACGTGAAACCCTGCACCGGCAGAGAATGACGGCCCCCGGCTCTGTCACTGGGCATCCATTTCGGTTTCAGTGAGCGGTTTTTTAATTACACTCATGGTTTAAGTATGAAGGCAATTTTTTTTTTTTAGTTTTCAAAATGAATATTGTTTCACTATTATAGAATCCTCTGTGTATTTGAGAGTCTTACTTCAGTGCTCGGTAAGGAATGACAAGGGAGTTCATGTCTTACCTTTTCGTCGTCTCCATAACCAGAGTAACAGGTAACAGTGAAATAGTGAAGCAGATCTAAGCTGTCATCTTGGTATTCTCCATCAAGCCCACCTTTGAGCAGAGCCTCTCTATGATTATCGTACCTAAACAGATTAAAAAAATTACCATCATCACTGAAGGCGAGATAGATAAGATTTAAGATTTCAAAAGGACTTCCCGTTCTAACAGCCACAATGCTATTATTGTACGTCTTCCCCTGTCCAACCCACAACGAAAAAGTTTTAACAAAAGAAATCAACACGAAAAGACAACCTCTCACAAGATTGCTGATTAAAACTATGACTACAACTTTGGGTACACTACAGGTGTTATATAGTACTAGCCCACGTGAACAAGGGAATTTAGCTAGCCAGGGAATGTCCGTGACTCTCCCAGAAGCACAGTGGCATTTTCACAGGAAAGAAACATTACTGAATAGGATAGCAGTGGACATAATTATGTCCACAGACTAATAACACATTTGGGATCTGAGAAGTTACCAATATGTACCAAATAAGACTCTTTCTTTGTGCATGTAAACAACCCAATGGCCTCATACACACGCAATGACCCCACATAATTACTCTGTGAAGTTAGTTGTTATCCCTGTTTGACACACAACAGGAAGGTGAAGCTCGGTGACATTAAATAACTTGTCATCCACCATCACGAAGCCAGCGCACGCCCTGCACCGACAGGACGCCCGCCCGGCGCACACTGCTGCCTGCAGACAGTAGCAGGGCTGACGGACACGGGCTTCAAAGGGGAGACAAGAGGGTCCTCGGGACCAGAAAACAACCTGCCACCTGCAGAAGGAGCCAGGGCAAAAGGAAACCAGGGAAGAATCTCAACGTTCCCGAAGGAAGACAACGGCATTTCTAAGGCCAGGTCTCCAAGTTCCTTGGGAGAAGAAACACTCAGGATTCTCTGACTTCCATATAGAGGATAATTCCGTAAGAATTTCCTTTACAGTCTCTCTGTCCCTCGGCCACCGGCCTGCCGCAGCCTGACACACAGGAGACGTGCGGGGAGGCGCAAGCACCCGCCTGCGCTTGGGAACAGCAAGAGCCCACAGTTCGGTCAGGGCTTAAAACCTTTCTTTGTAGCAAAAAGTTCATCAAGACTCTGCAAACTCCCAGCTCCCCACACAGAAACTGTTTTGAAGTGATATTAAATCGCCATTCCATCATTAGTAAAAGCATCTGTCATAGATGTAGAAGCTTAACTCAGTTTCTTCATATAAAATAGTTGTGGGGAAAATACTACCATTCTTGTCATTAAGACACTGTATCAGTTTTTTGAGGACAAGTCCATATCCCTCCTGGTCTGACATCAGGAACTGTGTCATACAGCAAAGAGACCCAGTGAACGAGGAGTCACTTTGTAAGTATCAAAACGAAAACTATCTAATACTGCCAAGCTGTCGATAAAATCAGGAACTGGAGTCTCCATCTCTAAGGCTCCTTCCCACCCAAATAGTGTATTTTAGGGCATGAGTAGAGGACAGAAGCCTCAGAACACACCTAAAACCACTCGTGTATTAATTTTTTTTAAGGCCTCTACTGACAGCTCTTCCCAACAAAACCTGCTGGGACGGGGGCTGGGGGGCAGCGCGACACTCACCATGCCCTTTCGTGGGGGTCACTCAAGACGTCGTAGGCTGCTTGGATTAATTTAAATTGTTCGGCTGCTTCCACGGCATTATCCAGATTTTTATCTGTTGAAATAAAGTCACAGAAATTTAGTCATCAAAAAAGTACAGGGCAAAATCTAAGAGGAACCTCACCCATCATGAATGCTAGAAATAGATGAGGAGTGCACAAAACAAAGAAAAACAACTAGAGAAGAGCAGAGAGATGCTGGACGACAGTTGGTAATCAGGATGTAAGAATCTAGTCGAGTAGAAACATCACGTTGTCCCTGAAGCCGGGGCACCTCACTGAGCACCCAGTCGGGATATCCACACTTGGAAAACCCTGAGTAAGTACACAGCTTCCCGTCAGGAGGAACTCTATGTATATAAAATCAGGCAGGAAAAACTGTAATTAGCGTTAGATTATATTTATTGTTCACAGCGTCTTTAAGTTGTTCTTCCTTATCAGCATATATCAAAGTAAATCTCGTAAAGTTTAAAAAGATAGACTGATTATTCTTCCCTTAGCTGCGCTTCCTTAACCATGGACTTCAGAGAGCATCTCTGCCGGGGGGTGGTGGCCGGCTTTGAAGACGGCCCCCAAGCATCCCCGTCTCCTGGCCTCTCTCCCTGTGCGGCCCCCCACCAGGGGTGCTCCACGGAGCCAACAGCAGGCAGCGGGAGTGAGGGGATGGGTGATAAGAGACGGCAGTTTCAATCTTGGGCTCTGTCTCCTTGGAACACCCTGGGAGTGGCCAGCTGCCACATGCCGCCTACGGAGAAGAGAAGCCACGTAGTGAAGAATGGAGGCCCCCGGCCCCCAGCCACAGCCTGCAGGTGACGGAGGCCAGCACGATACCACGTGAGCAAGCACGAAAAGTGGGTTTTCCCGGACACTGAAGACAGCCTCCTGAGGAACCCAGAGCCAAAACCACAGGGGTTCCCAGACTCCGATCCTCAGGCACTGTGAGTCCCCACAATGAATGTCTGCAGTGTTTACTGTTTTAAGCCCTAAGTTTCTGGTAATCTGTTACACAGCAATAGATAACTAATACACTGAGAAAGTAAAATATTTTGAATCTGCTATGGAACACATCAGAGTCCTTTAAACTACAACTCAACAGGTGCCCTCTAAGAGGGTAGAAGGAAGTATGACAAACGTGCATTCCCAACAAAGAGTCTGGCAGCCTTAGAACGAGGCCCTCGAGGACATCCTGCGTCCTGCTCTCAGGCACCACCCCACGGATCCCAAGTCCTTCAGGCGGTCTTCGGCGCAACAACTAACGGCAACAATACTTCTGCAAGAGCAGCAGTTTGCCATAGGCCTTTTGCTAAGATGCCTTAACACAACAGTCGTCTATGGCAGCTTTTTAAGACCCTTCCTTAAAAGGCAAAGGGCACACGATCTGTCCCTGCCTCATCCCCTGCCTTCCACTCTGTGGCCTGGATCCCCGGCTGCCGCCTGCACTAGGAGAGAGGGCCCATCCCAGAGATGCCCAGCAGGGCGTGGAAGGTCCTCCTGGAGGCGCCCGCTGTACTGGGGCTTGCCTGCCTGTCCCTGCACCTCCTCCTCGGAGAGCAATGAATGTCTCTCTTACATAAACAGAGAAGTATCAGCTAAAGGCACAAAAACTAAATCAATAATAAATGCCTCATTTTTGAGGCTCAAATGCTTCCACCTGGGGCAATGACCAGGCAGCTGGAGCAGCTCTTTGAAGCGTCCATCAAGCAGCTGTGGCTACCAAGACGGGCCACCTCTGGATCTCACTGTGTGCGAAAAATAAAATGACGATGGCTTGGCCACTACAGCCAGCTTCCTGTCACATGTGGATAAACACAATCCTGATATGACTTCAAGATGAGAGTCCAGCTAAAAAGTCATGATTCCTATGTCTTCATCAAATCCTTACTAAAAATGCTGTCAGATAAGTAGAAAAAGCACCGTTCAAATGGAAGCAGAATGGCCGAAAAAGCCAGCAAGATGGAAAGGGTGGCTGTTTGGGGATGGGAGGTGGGTGGACCATCTTCACCGTTTCATCAGCGCTGCTCTTTGCTGTCCTGTTTCTTCCCGCCCCCTTCTTTCCTCCCCAAAGAAGCTGGAAGAAAGCTAAAGCTTTTAAACATATAAAACATATTAATGCACCACCTAAAACTAAGATCTCATCTCTTACTGAAACTTCCTTCTTAAATAATTTTTTCAATCTGTCATATGGCTTTTTATCTCACTTACACATACCTGACCTGGTTGATTATATGACTGAACTGAGATTTAAAAGCATGAGAGCAGTAAGTTAAAAAGCACCAGTTTAAAAAATGGGAGGCCCACATAATTTATTATTCACCAAATACAAAAGCCACAGGTGTTGCAAACCCAGGCATCAAAGTTTAAAAGGCATTCTCACATTATTCTCCATGCTTTTCTCTTCATCCACTACGCTCTCTCCCATTCCCTCCCCCACCTCTTTTCAGGGCCTTCTGGAAAACTCCACGGGCTGCGCCCCGACTGCAGCCAGGCTCGCTGGGCACGCTGCTTCCCTCTGAGGCTCCTTCAGCAGCCACAGCGCCGCTCGGCAGGCCTGGTGCTGGGGCTGGCGTCCTCTCCTCCTGCCCACGGACCCTTTACTCACCAGGACGAACCGGCACCCTGGTAAGGGTCATTGGGCCACCCCACCTTCCTCCCCCTCACTGTCCACTCACCTCCCAACCACTGCCTCTCACTCCCTGAGGCTTTGGGCCCTTGGCCCAGAGTTTCCATCCCCTGTTCCTATTCATCATCCTGAGTGACTTCCAAGGTACCTTGACCTCCTGGTCTCCCTACCTCCACTCTCGAGGCTCCGATCCACTCCCCCAGGACAGCCATCTCCCCTGCTTCCAACTCTCCGCTGGCATCCCAATGCCCTTAGGTTAAAATCCGACCCACCTCACCCAGCTCCCACAGCCTCCGAGCCCTGGCTGCTCCTCTTCTGGCCATGCTTGCCTCCTTCCCCTTCCTAGACCTGCCGTGCCTCCTCTTGCCTCCCTCCACCTGGGTGCTCTGCATCCTGGCCCTAGGTCTCGACCTAGATGACACCTCCAGGGATGCACATCGACCCCACTCACACGTACGCCCAGTCCAGGTCAGGACATGTGCTCACAGGCACTTTTGCTTGCCCTCACCTCACTAGCGCGAAATTGCCGGTCTCCTCTCAGTGTTAGCCAAAGGCTGCACCTGCCAGCGGGGCAGGGCCCACGCCGGGCGCGGTCACAGAGTCCCCGGCCTGGGGAGTGGTCGTCACATGCATCACTGAAGGCTGGCCCTTCACACGGAGTGATCTCCAGGGGCAGTACTGTTGACCCTACTGGGAATTATTCTCAGGTCCTCAAAAAAAGAAATAAAGGTATTTTCTTTTTGGTGGTGGTGGTGGTGGTGTTTTTACAGTGAAAAATGGGCAGCCTTTCTACTTGAGCTACACACTGTTCATGGAAACCAAGCCCATATGTTAACCTCAGAAACATCTAACACAGCACCTTGCACATGAAATTAAACATTTGTTGAACAACAGACTAACAAGGTAATGAGCCAGCAAAGCATATCAAAATCATGTATCCCCTGGGAGAGTATCTACTCCTTAAATGTATAAGCAGCTTCAAACCAAAAGATATTTAGGGTTCTATGAATTATGGCACTCAGACATTTATTTACTAACAGGTTTGTCTTCAAAGTACTTAACTGATATTTTTAGTAATATTTGTGTATTTCTTCCTTGCACCGATTTGCAATAATCACCAAATCTGGTAATTTTCCCTTTAGAGCATCTCTTCACTCTGGCCTTACCCCTCCCGCTGACCCCAAGCCTGACCTGGGCCCTCACCTTCCCAGGGTGGGCTCTGCCTGACTTCTCCATTCCTCTTCAGTCCTCTCAGTCGCCTTCAGAGTTCCTTCCAAGGACATCGATTTCACAGTCCTTAGCCTAACATTCAAGGACCTTTAGAATTTAATCTCAGAAACTATTACTTAGAATGACAACATTCTAATACTGTCATCAAAATTGTATGTGCATTTGGTCACAAGCATTAATCTTCTTCCTCACGCCTTCCCACCCACAAAGTCACAAATTCCCAACTTTCTTCTAATTCCTAACTCGATTTCTAATGCTTCTACGCTCTGTTTGGATTTATTAATTGTGGATATAGCTATTGACTTCCTGCTGTGATGAACATTTAGCTCATTTACCTCTTCCTTTCCAATGTGTATCAGATCTTTGCAGTTCCTCTGTTGGTCAGCATTATAACTTTAAGTAACAAACCTTTACTTCTTGCATCAACTACACACAGCACCTTCTAACTTTGGGTCCCGAGCCTTCTCACAGCTCTCCTCCCAACTCATCCCTGCAGACTTCCGAAAGCACTGCCTTCAGTCCTACTGCCCCTGGACCACCTCTCACCCGCCACGTGCTCTCCCCCTGCTGCTGAGTTCACGCTTCCCCCTTCTGCCCCCCTAGGATCCAGCCACGCTCCAGGCTCCTCTGCCAAGGGACAGCCTCCCCACCTCTCAGCACCCAGTGAAAACTCCGTCCGTTCTCCTGAATTCCTGGGGCATTACTAGTTCTTCTATTACTCCAATCACCGACTCCATCGTTGTGCTATCTTGTTTGCACTTGTATTTAACTTTTCATGTGTGTAAGGCATGTCTTCCCAGCAAGACTGAGGTCTGTCTTAGTATTGTAGAATCTACAGTGACTTGCACATACTGGAAACAAGACGCATGCTTATTGATCAGTGCTAATAAGAAAGCCTCTTCTTATAAACCTCAAAAAGCTGAGATTCAACTCCTGTCTTAGCTTCCCAGTCCCGAAGAGCATACTAATACACAAAAGTCACACGGGCCTGGACTACAACCAAATGAAACATTCAAACGAGGAATACTTCTAAGTAATATACAAACTTCACTAGGGAAGAGTGATCATAGTTCCTCTGCCTTAATTTCAATAAGCCAGGAGCCATAAATTACACTTAATAGTAGGGATTCTGCGATCAATAAGGGCAGCCGAGGAAAAGCCGGGGCGGGCGGGGGTCGGGGAGGACCGGAGCGGCAGGGGGCTCAAGCCCGGGACATGCCAGAGGTAGGACTGGGTTTAGAATTGCGGGCACCTCTTGCCTCCAGGGGTCCGCTAAGGAGTAGAAGGAACAAGCGAAGTTTCGAGAATGTTGTCTTTCCCCATCAAGTGGCAGTGCGGGAACCGTGGAGAGTAGGGAGAGGTGGGCTGGCACCGGGGAAGAGACGGGGTGCCCGGAGCTCGAGCGAAGCCTGGGGGTGAAGGGCTGCGCCCACCGAGGGGCGGGGAGGAGAGGACGCGCTTTGGGTGGACTGCGCAGGGGCCACCTGGCCGGGGACCGGGGCCGGATTGGGTCTTGGGCACGGTTGCCTGGGCGAGGGGAGCTCCAGGGCGGGTAAGTCGAGGCACAGCCCGGTCCCCGGAGTTACAGGGGGGTGAAAAAGGTCGCGAGGCCAGGGGCTGCGAGGGACCCCGGCGGTTGCGGAGTAGTTACCCGGGTGCCATTTCAGGGCCAGCTTCCGATAGGCCTTTCTGAGCTCCTCCTCGCTGGCGTCGCGCCGCACCCCCAGCACCTCGTAGTGACACTTCATCGTCCGGCCGGGCGGGGGGCCGGGGCCCGGGGCGGGGCTGGGACCCGGGCCCGCGCCGAAGTGCTGGTGGCGGCGCTGATGGTTCTCTCCTGCGGCGGGAGCCGGGCGCCCGCACTGGGCCAGCCAGCGGGCACGACGGCAGCGACGGCGGCGGCGCGGGGCAGCGGCGGCGCGCGGCGGAGACAGGCGGCGCGGGCTGCGGCACGCGGACGCGCGGAGGGGGCGGTGCCGGCGGCCGCGACTCCGCATGGGCGGAGGGAGGGCTCTGAGCCGGAAAAAGCCCAGCGGGAGGCGGGCCCGCGGGGGGAGGGGCGGGGCCGCTGCAGGTGGGAGGCGGGGCCACGGTGGATGTCATTGTGAGGGGCACAGAGGGCGGTCAGTGTGAGTGGCCCCAACTGGTCACCCGTCCTGAGGGCTGAGATAGGTGGGAGGAGATGTTAGAAAACATCTTGTGGGTTTTGATCATAATTTCCCAACTGAGCCCCGCTTTCACATATGAGGCAGCTCATGCCCAAAGTAGACGGGGGTCTGCTCGAGCCTTCAGAACTAATCAAAAGCAGGAATCGGTTGGACTGAACAATTAATAAACCTGTTTTTTAAGTCTCCAATTCTCTTCAGCTGCCACTTAATGAGATCTCTAATATTTTCCATTTTGGCCAATATGCATGAGGAGTAACAGCAAGTAACTTGACAAACAATTTAAAAGGGAAACGTCAACACTTTTTAACATAACATACTAAATGTTTTACCACCAATATGGATGGAATTGTGCTGACCCATCCATCCATCCCTTCCCCCCCCCCCCCCAAGCTATAAGAGAAAGTTTACTTAGAAAGTTACAGAAGTAGTAGAAGTAAGGCAGCTGGCTTTGTAGGCTCAGGAAACAAGTTACAGAGGCAGAAGGGCCCCTGAGCATTGGGAAGAGAAAGGCGAAGTCAAGGGGCCTGGGGGGAAGAAGAGAGGGAGGAGAAAGGCCTCTCATCCTACATTTCCAAAATTCGTTTAGGTTAGGAATTCAGTTAAGGCATAGTATTTAACTACATTTCCCTTGATCTAACAGATACACTGTATTACAGGATGGAAGATCTGTACACCTATTCGTTTGATAAGGTGTCTCAGTAGCATTTGTCATTAAAATGCACCAACCCACCAATATGTTTCACTGTAATGTGTAATGTTTACATACATCAGCTATTGGGTGGTTGTATTATTCAACCATGTACGGTTAGAGAAGGGTTGGTTCTGCAATGTCGATTGTACAGTGTTTGGGTACCCAAAGTTTAGGAACAGTGACCCTTTCATCCTAATATCCTGCTCTCTGCACAGTCAAAACAAATCAATTCTAAACATCGTTTCTCCACACACCACTATCCAACCAAATCTCTACTCAGAATTCACACACACTTGCTTGTTGTCCAAAAGAGGATAATATATAGCCTTTTGAGAAGTGATAATGCACAGGAGCTTAAAAGTTTGAATGCAGGGAAAGAAATGGGAACATTCCCTCATCTGAGAATGGAATGGGGGGGGTGGGGGGCGGGACGGGCGAATGTAACAAAGGACTCTTCCTTTATTTTTTTAAGATTTATTTACTTTTAGAGGGAAAGGAAGAGAGGGAAACATCAGTATGTGAGAGAGGGATACATCAATTGGTTGCCTCTTACATGCCCCCAACCGGGAACCTGGCCTGCCACCCGGGCATGTGCCCTGACTGGGAATCAAACCAGTGACCCTCCGGTTCACAGGCCAGCACTCAGTCAACTCAGCCACACCAACCAGAGCCCTTTTCTTCAACTACATCTTGCTTTGCTTATAAACTCTGAGTAACTTGCCTTTTTTCTGCTCAGGAAAAAGGGATCTATTTCTGCCTACAACTTTGCATAGAAAATTTAACAATTACACTGGATATAAATTTCAGTCTAAAGGAACATCTTTATTATTAGCACATTAGCTTCTAACTGAACGTGGACTTGGGAGATGAGGAATTCCCATTCAAATGACATATTCTCATAAATGACAGAAAGGGAAGTGATTTGGAACAGGAAAATATATGTGGGAAATGATAAAGTTGTTAACTTGGAAAGTCCACGAAAACTCTACAACACACGCACATCAGTTATGTATTAAGTAAAAAGTATTGTCTTCAAATTCATAACTTGTTGATCCAGGTTGTTTATAACCTATAATTAACTTCTTGAGATGTGTTTTAAAAAAAATCCTGAATGCAGTTGTCTTATTTTCATCCAAGGCCAGATTTAATTGCCTAAAATAATGGCTTTTTTTTCTTAAACAGGTTTGGCCTTCATTAGCTACATGTAAGTATACCAGGAGAACCTGACTTGATTCAGGAGAAATTACTTGCATCATTTAGATTTGAGGTACCCTCATTTACACTATTTCAAGACAAAGTAGCCTAATAATATACTTCCTTAGCAAAAAATTAAGAGAAAATACTAAAAATTGATTATCCTACCTACATTTAAAATAAATGCAAAAATGCAAGTGAGCTAGATGTCTAGAATAAACTTACTATATCCAAGAGGTCTTACAAACTAGTAAGCAATCACCACCCCCCCAAAACAAGATTAGTCACAAAAGCCAATCCCTAACCAAAAAAATAAATTTTTCTTTTTTTACCTAGCTAATTGACATTTCACCATTAGCAAGGGTACAAGGAAATGAAGGCTCTAACCTCTGGTGAAGTACAGTATTTAGGGGAACCACCAAAATGTTTTAGTAGTCACAACCTCTGACCTCAGTTCCACTCAAAGGAAATCCCGAGAGTTGGACAAAATAATGTATGTATAAAAATGTTTGCTGCAAACACCTATAGAAGAAAAAAAGATTTAACTGAACTGCTTAATATCCAACAAAACATTATATAGCTATAGTATGGAATAGAATACTGTGCAATTACTAACCATATTATATAACACAGACATGGGAAAATGTGTAATAAAAATTAAGTGGATAACAGAACACTGCACGCATGACCCGATTTTATTTTGTATAGATATATGTATAATTATATACATATGTGCATGTAAGCCGTCCATCTTCTCAGCAGCCACTTAACTGTTCATGGCCACTGGCACCCAGATAGACTCCCTTTCCCTGTTACTAACCTACGTCTAAGATGGTACACTCTGCTCTCTTTGCTTCAAGTAATTTTTATAAGGGGCGAAATTCAAATGTTCTACTACCCCATAACAAATACCCCATTTTTCTTTACTATCAATAATTTATATCCACTGCTTCAAAAATGTTTATAACTGACAAAATGCTTTCAATGGATGTATTAACTCATTTAATTCTCAAAACTGAAGAATTTTTATTGTACTTTTCAGAGGGGAGAAAACCAGATCAGGGATTGGCTTTTCCAAGGTTTCATTAATTAGTGACTCAGGGACTCAACTATCAGTTACGATGCTTTCCTTCCTATGACTCAACCCTTACTTTACAATCCAAAACTATGCTCTCAAAGTGCCTGACGCTCTGTTTTACAAATAATGACCCAATAAATCTGTTTAAATTTCAGCTTTGCTAAACCAAAATTTTCATCCAAGAGGGCAGGACTCAACCTTAAGTGTTCTAAACCAAATAAACTTTGAAAAAACAAAAGTTGATGAGTTCTGGTGATATTTTATTTAGAAAAACATAGCACTGAAGCTGCAAGATATTAATTTTTTCTTTTAAATGCCACACTAATTAGATGTAAGACAGTCCTGAATAATAAAAGTATTTACACATTGCATACAAAATAAATATAAAATAACTGAAAAGTTAGTTATCCAGTGATTCATTTTGCATTCCTGCTGTTCATCTTCTGTTTCATTTTTCTTTGCCTTTTGTAAACCCTCTTCTTTCTTGCTTTCAAGTCGACTTTTGGCTCTGGTTTTACCCACTGTATTTCTATCGGCTTTTCCTCAGCTGGTGTAACAAAAACATCTGCAGTGGGATCATGTGGAACAATCGTCTTTGGTTCTTTCTTCTTCAGTTTCTGCACCTCTTTAACTTGCTGCTTCTCTTTGTATTTTGCAGCTGTCATGGATCTTATGATACGCCGATGCTAGAAATAAAACAAAAAAATTACATGCTTCTGAAATACAAATAGACATTTTATATATGGCAAGTACATTAACTTATGAACGAACCTTACTTTTCTTAATCCCAAATCGTTAGGAAAAAATAGTAATTTGCAAGAGTGCATGCTGCAAAACCAAAGTTCAGTTTCACAGTTAACAGAACAGTAATTACTTGACAGAATTATTTTCGCCAGAGTTCTGGGACCAAGTTCTAGACCACAACCAACAGAAACAGCTTACCATGTTTGGTGACTGGTAGTGAGGATTTTCATATAAAGTTGGTCCTCCGAAACTTCCCTGGAAAATCTTTATGAGATTTAAGACAAAACGAGGTCCTATTTCTACAAGAGCTGCATCTTCTTCTATGATCTTTAATAAAAAAGAAACATTTCATTTTGGTTTCGATATACCACCTAAAAGGTATAATGGCTATAACCTTGTTTTGAGTGTGCCCAAAAAAACTGAAAATAAAATTAAGGTGGCGATGAAAAGCGCCAAACCACCAGTATGGATTAGTGACAGGCCGTTGTCACGGGGAATACCAAGGTTTTTCAAAATTGAGTAGCTTGAATTTGTTACAGTATCTTGCTTCTCATAATGCATGGATTCTTGAAAACCTGTGGTTAAATTTTTAAAAGTGCAACTACTGTAACAAAATGTGAAGCACAGCTATAGGGAACCCTTTAAAAATTTTAAATCAATCTCTACATAGCTTTTATAAACCTAATTCAAATGAAATGAAAGGTATATAAAAGTACAGTACATGGTCAAACTTACTTTTGAATAGCTACCCATTGAGGCAACTTCTGAACTACAAACATCAACACTGTATATTCGTTCAGATATGTCTTCCCTCAGAGGTTGAGAAGGGAGTATGTTTAACTCACTTTACAAGGTATCCAATGTCATAGCACATGAAAAGCCCAGTTTGCTTTGTGTGCTATCTAAATTTTGTCTTGATGTTCTCTGCCACCTCACCTCTCTGCAGGTTTATTATTATCCTGCCAACTTCCTTCTTCAAGATTTCCATAATCACCTCTCCTGATTTGAGTCACTGTGTGACTCATCTAATAGTTCTCATTAAATGCCTTCTACAGAGGTTATGTTTTTCTGAGTCTTAACCA